GTGAACCTACAAAAAATGTTCATTTCAATCGCTATTGCATTTGTTATTTTACACACTTAACGTCATGATCTTAATAGAAAATAGTCGCTGTGTGTAATTACTTTCCAATACCTTCCAACATTCACTGGACGCGCCTAGATATTTTTTAATATATAGCTTGCAAGTGTTCCAGAAGATAACTGAATTGAGTCACTCCAGGACAATCTAACTATTACCAAGCCGCTCATTAAATGCTACGTTGCATATCAATATGACATCCCTTTTTTGGACGCCTAGATCGTGTTATTATAACCCTCGCCCTGGCAGGGCATTTTTCGTAACGCGGTCTGGGGGGGGGGGGGGGTCCGACCTCCTGGCGTTTCGAAACTAAGCGTCGTAGCGCTTCCCAACAAAGACCAGTCGATTGCTCTTTACGAGTATTCGCGACTGGTGGTACCTATATTTTTTATCCTAGGTCAATACATATTTGACTCCGTTTTGGCTAGTCAACGATCAAATTACGGGGAAAAGCTATAATTTTCCAAGCTATTTAGCCAATAATGGCAACTCTATGAAAGATATCAACATGAAACTTTCACGACCGTGTTTCTCAATGAATTAGCAACAAATTGATGCATAGTTCACTGCAGTTCAGTCATTACTGGCGTGACATAGTCCCCGGGAACACGAGAGTCACACCCGCCGCTGGCGAGGACGGTCCTAATTGACCTGAGGTGACCTTATAAAGATCAAAGAACAATTTTGAAAGCATTTAGATGAAGATTAAACCACAGATTCGGATTCAGGACCTCAAGAAACCCCACTAAACACAGACATGCGAGGTCAATGACCTTCGTTGACCTTAGAAAGGTCAGTATACAATGTAATGATTCATGTCCTGTAAAAATCTGACATAAGTCACACGGAAGGATCGCGCCCGGATACGCCAGATGTACGATTTTGTCAAAAAGAGTCGGAGGTTTTACCTATTGTGACGTCATAGCACGGTGACCTGACATGACCCGAAAATATTTTTTACCGAAAGATTGAGCTGAAAGTTAGCATGTAGGTAGGCACCCACTAAGCCATGCATATCCATGTGCCAGATTTGGGGTGCTGCTGCACGTGCGCACGTGCAGGGGTCGATTCCAGATCTCGAGGACAGCTGGACCGATTGCGCTCAAATTTGGTACACGGTTAGGGAGCAGTTGGTAGGGTGCCGTGCAAAAGTCAGTTGGGACCCAGTTGGCACGTGCGCACATGCAGGGTGCCGCTTCCAGATCTCGAGAACGGCTGGGCCGATTGCGCTCCAATTTGGCACATCACTAGGGACCGGTTAGTAGGTCTTGGGGTGCAGTGCACAAGTTATTTGGTGGTACCCCCTCGCAATTTCGCAGGTGCAAGGCTCACCCTCTCGCTCACTCCGTTGGTCTCCCCAAAAGGCGTTTTACTGGTGTGCACGATTACTTTATAAAAATGCTGAAGTGTTGCAAGTGATTGACAAATATTGTCCAAAGCATGCTGCCTTTTTCCAACCAAATTCCGATTTGAGCATAGGACAAAATCGGAGTTCTGAAGGTACAAAATCCAATTGGCACCACACTTACAGATGTGGTAAGGTTGTGATAGGTTTTACCGAACGGAGATATAGACGATCTGTCAACTGACGAGAGAAGCCAACCTCTGTCAACTGGCTGGTGTGCAGCAAGCAGATATTGATATTCTGCAACGGTTATTTTTATTGTTGTTTTAATCTTTCTTCAATAAGGTATGTTAGAGCTGTTGTGTTGTGCCTATTTGTTTATACACCAAACAACATCGGTGATAGCCAGATAACTATTTCATGGCGTGCAAAGAAAGACTGTTCAAGTTACCCAACGGTCGGGTTATTTGAATACACCGTCACTTGACGGAGAAGCAGGGCTTTACTTTACATTTTTCAAAAAAAAATATATATATGTTCAACTTGAAACTTGATGCACTCTACGGCAATAACACTTGTTAAGTTGTTCGAAAAGTCAAGTCTGTTCAAGTTGTTCTTAGGACAATTAAAATTGATTCCATCGGCTTCCACTCGCTAAACCCGCTTTCCCTATAGCTCAATCAAGGGATGAATCACTGGGTGGTTCTTTCGACCCCTCCTCACCCTCCTGCAATTGAAGTTAGCCGTTAGCAAAGACACTAATTCGTGCAGGGGCTCATTTTCACTTGTCCTTTTAATGTAATCGGTGACTTAAGCCAGCCGGCCAAATGGACAAAAATCCATACAAACCCAGGTGGTGCCACGGGCCCACGGCCCTCATCCTTGTCAGCGTCAACTCCCTCGGCGGCGGCGGCGGCGGCCCGCCGAGCCGTGCGCCGCGGCATGTTACCTGTCGCCGCGCCAGGGGCCGCGGGGCGGGACGCTACCCCCCGCTGCGCCAGGCGACCCCCGGGCCTGGGCACCGCCGCGGCGGGCGACGGACAATAGAGCAAACAAAGGATGGGGCCGCCAGTCAGCCGGCGTAGTGAATGGGTAAATCCTTACTCGATAATACAGCAGAGACTGCTCCACGAACACGGGCAGGCCGTACGGTAGTAGACATTCGATGGAATAGGCGATTCGGGCGTAGGTCAGCCGGGCGTAGGTCACCCGGGCGTAGACATTCGATGGAGTAGGCGATTCGGGCGTAGGTCAGCCGGGCGTAGGTCACCCGGGCGTAGACATTCGATGGAGTAGGCGATTCGGGCGTAGGTCAGCCGGGCGTAGGTCAGCCGGGCGTAGACATTCGATGGAGTAGGCGATTCGGGCGTAGGTCAGCCGGGCGTAGGTCAGCCGGGCGTAGACATTCGATGGAGTAGGCGATTCGGGCGTAGGTCAGCCGGACGTAGGTCAGCCGGGCGTAGACATTCGATGGAGTAGGCGATTCGGGCGTAGGTCAGCCGGGCGTAGGTCACCCGGGCGTAGACATTCGATGGAGTAGGCGATTCGGGCGTAGGTTAGCCGGGCGTAGGTCAGCCGGGCGTAGACATTCGATGGAGTAGGCTATTCGGGCGTAGGTCAGCCGGGCGTAGGTCAGCCGGGCGTAGACATTCGATGGAGTAGGCGATTCGGGCGTAGGTCACCCGGGCGTAGGTCACCCGGGCGTAGACATTCGATGGAATAGGCGATTCGGGCGTAGGTCACCCGGGCTGATCCCCAGCCAGCAACCCAGTTCCAATCATTGGCCTTTTTCACCGTCAGTCAGCTGGCTTTTCCAATCACCACCGGCATGCGAATCACAGCGTTCATCTAGAGGCGGTGGCGGTGGCGGTGGCGGGAGCGGGGGCGGCGCGGCACGAGACAGCTCCGCGCGCCTTTTTCCGCTCGCCTGATCGGCTGAAAGGGTGACGGTGGGCAGCGCGCCGGGCCCGTCTGACTGATGGTCCCCCCTCCTCCGATAGTCTCCGGCGAGTGCCGTGTGTGCGGACATGTCCGGAGGGATGCCATTATCCTCTCAGGCCCTGTTTGGTGTCTGACGGGGGAGAGAAGGAGGAAGAGGGAGGAATGGAGGAGGCGGAACCGGGCCCGACACCACCGAGAGAATCCAATATCCAGCCTCTTGCCGTTCCATTTGATTTGGGATGCAGGGAAATATCGGAGCAGATGTAACGTCTGAAGAATGTGACGGACCGGGACAACAAGCCGTGAGAACATCCCTGAATTGGATGTTTGGTTGCTCGAGTTCCGTGCCGCACAGGCCGGTGCCAGTCCCAGAAACCAGCGGTGATCACTGACCATGGCACCAGCAATATGTTTTACAACTTCAAGCTGCTACGAACATAATAACTTATGCCGTGGGATGTCAAATTTGTGGAAAAACTACCGTCTGGGGTCCAAGATAGGTTTTCTCCAGAGATCCAATAGGCCCACGCAACGCGGCCGCCTGAGACCGAGAAACAGCGTTCGGACCGGCTCTGCGGTCGCTCCTGCAGATGGGATCGATCGGAGCGCACGGTAAACACGGGTCCGGGATGGCCGAGCCGGTCAGATGAAAAACGCCGCCCAAACGCGCTTTGCGTGATTACATTCGGCCGAGACGGGCCGATCGGCCATTTAATCGCGCCGGCTGGAGACGTCCGAAATTCGGGTGGACGTAACTGAAATGTAAGAGAGGAAGCTTATAGATAAGGATCGCACAGGTCATCTAGCCAGCGAACTGATGAAGTGGAATTGGCTTTCAGAATTCAGACCTTTTTTTCTGCCGGACTAAAAAGGTAGACACTCCTTAATGTCAGACCAATAATTCTGATCGAGGGGCTTATTTCGGTAGTATGCATGGACATCCTGCATTCATGCTGACTGCTGAGCCCCTATAACGACACCTATTTGACTTTTTAGTCAAGACAGCGCTGCGTCTTTTAATCCACTCCCAACTTCCCATGATTTCCACGATTGTCATGAGTTTGAGAGCTTCCAGACGCGGCAGACGTGCCCCAATCTTCCCCACATTGCGTCAGCCCAGACGGTCAAGAGATCCTCAGAAACTGGGCATCGGCTGCAACAACTGGCGAAACGACCCGGCAGGGGTCACGGCCGAGAGATTTGTTAGCCAGCGGCAAAATATTACCGGGATGCGCCACCTGCCTCGGCGACCGGATGACGTCATCGAAGGCTGCCAGATGGATCTCTCTGCCCCCAACCCCCCTCCGTGTATTCCCTCCCTCACAGGTCATCACCTCTGCAGGGGCAACATCATTGCTCCAGCGTGCTGTGATAAGGGAGAGGGAGAGGGTGGTCAGTAACGACCTGTGTTTGCTGATACTAGTCGGTCATTACTCTGGTCGTCGATGTGAACAATGTGACTGATGGTTACCTAACGGGACTACCTGACTGTCGAGCGTGCATGCTTTTCTACGCTAATATAAGGTATATTTTTCCCCAGGAAGCTGCAGCACCGCAACTAAATTCACTGAAAAAGATCACATCGATTATCATCTTGATGTTGACCGTCATTTCCATGACGGTCCATCCGACCATTCATGCGAGGAAATAAGTCGGCATTGAGGCGAAGTTTATTTTTGAGAGCTTGGATGTCTGCGAGTAACTATAGGTGACATGCATACAAACATACAAACACTTGCAATAACACGGGCGAGGCTTCCACTGAATTGAACTCAAGACAATATTCCAAGCGTAATATAGCGACAAATGAATAACAATATATCAGCAGAGGGCAGCGCTCCAGCTCCGACATCGGTTCCTTATGAGAGCGACACAAGAATGACGCACTCAGGGATATAACCGCCGACACGGTCGGTCCCGAACCACTCCGCTGGGATCATACGTCATCCCCTCACAACGAGGATATCATTCGCCGCCAGCTCATTCTCCAAAAACACATGAAAAGCAACACGAATGTCGGCGCAAAACCGATGCCGCCCTCCGGCTCTAGTCCCTCATTGTTGGTCCCGTGGATGTCCCAAGGTGGAGGCTTCGCTCCGGGCTAGGAAGCTCTTGGGTGGGCGCTCCAGGAGTACAATGACACTAAGGTTGAACGAATCTGCTCCACATCATACCGAGTACAGCCCGCAGACGGGGTCCGGGAGCACATCTTATGTATAAAGAATCTCGCACATACATGACTCACATGTGAACACATATTCAAACACACACGACACCGATTCGCACGTATGAACACAATCATTCCGCAGATTGTAGTTCTGCTCTCCCGATGTGCGCCAGCTATCACAACGGCGGTACAAAGGTATGAAACACGACAGGACACCTTCCACGACCACTGCCCGGCCTTACCGGGCACCCACTTTGTCTCTCCAACTCCACCGGCGACGCACGGTGGCTCGAGGGTGCGACCTGAGTGGCCAAAACTCACCCTTCGATTCGACTAGACCCCAGCGCGGCCTGAAAGACGGCTCTTATTTGGCCTTCGCTCTTTCTCTTCGGCCTCCTGTTCCTCACTTGCTCTTTCTCGTCTGCTTGGTTTAAACAATATCGATTGAAAATGTATCGAAATCGTTACCGCTTCTGTATCGCATGCTACACGTCACCATGGCACCTTCTAGACAGTTCTCTATCAATTTAGCACAGATGATCACTGAACATCATTATGCTGGCCTAGCTCCATCATAACATCATGACGACTCCTGATGACATGATGATGCAGTGACGTAACACACACGTGGCCGGCCACTCCCGTGACGTCATCAGTGTCTCCAACCACGTCAGAGCTGAGATCCACCGAGAGACTGTGCGATTTCTTACCAGAGAGGATCTCACCCGTCCTGGGACACATCGATGGCAGCGGAACTGATCTAGGTGTCGCTGCTGTGACCGACAATGGCTCTAGCCATGCACAAACATTGTGCAGTGCCCACCACACACCGACACTCGTACCGCACGCATCAGACCAACGCCCCTGATGATGTAGCACGAACACAGATGACGTCACTGACATCACCAGCTGTGTTTCGCATCGCTCAGACGTCATTCTCATCGATGTACTGCCCCTCGGTGCTGACGTCGAAGTCGTTGATGTGCTGGTCGAGGAAGGCGAAGGTGGGCCTCTTCTCCGGCTCGAACGTCCAGCACTGCAGCATGGTCTCATAGAGGGCCGGCGGACAGACGGTTGGCGGCGGCGGTGGAGCGCGGTACCCCCTCACCAACATGTCGGGCAGGTCGCGGTTCGACAGACCTGCGGGAAGGATGGGCAGATTGGTAAAACGGCCACTCGGGCAGTGGCTAACAGGCGGGTTTGAGGTTCCGCGCATTGTGGCCCAATGACGCATGAACTACGATGGGCTACTTACATTTTTTAGATGTCGTCAGTCTCATACCATGCATTATAGACGGTGAGCCTTGCGGGACAGTCTAACTTCAGGCGTCGACAACTACTGCCATCTAGTGGCAGGTCTGTAAGCTAAGCTACGGACATCGGCATGAGAGGCTACTCGCAATGTTTTTGACTAAGTAATGAGTTTCAATACTGAGCAGACAATATATAGCTGCATACAACACTGTCAATCACATAAACCATTCAAAATGAAACTGGGTTACGATCAAACACTAAAGGCCACCGCACACTATCCATTCGGCCGGTTCATTCGGTCGTTACAGCGGCGATTTTCTCGCGCAAGTGTCTATATCGGCCGAATGGCCGAATCGCTTAGAGCAGAAATATCGTTGTTGAAATATCGCCTAAACTGTTGTAACCGAATTCCAAGAGCGGAAGTAATGAATGTTTTATAATGAATATTGGAAAAGACCAAATAGAATCGAGCTTCATATATTTAGTGCATCGTTAAAAAAAGAAACAAAATTATAGGTTAATTGCAGTTTGAGTAGGTAGCTTGCTTGCTAATGAAAACAAATTGGCTGTTAAAAACAAACATTGAGCAAAGTACACCGACTATTGAGGTCTAAATGGTCTGAGCATATCGCAAGCGATTAACCAAACTTAACAACATTAATGTGCATTGTATTGATGCTCTGGGACCAAAAGATTTAGTTATCTGCATGCTGAGCCACCAAACAACCCGTACACACTTCAACTAGCCATCGCGATACTGTACTTCAAGCTGGCACTCCAGAGGGTGCAGGAGAGACGCAGACCCTTGGTCCGGCGCATGGGGTCAGCGACGTGCTGCAGCGCCGAGACGAGCTGGGCGAGCACGCCAACCGAGAGCAGGAGCTTCGGCTCAACGACCCCCAGCGACACAGGTTCAGTATTTCCGACTGAGCTAGGGAGCCTTCAGCCTCCTACTAGCACAGATCGAGGGCCAGATCACCCGCTCGACCACCACCTTCCTCCAGCCGGTGAGCGCACCGCTGCGGCTGGCGATTACACTCCACTATCTGGCGTCGGGGGCTGAATTTTCCGCTCTGGCGCCGAGCTACCGGCTCGCGGAGTCGACCACGCGCGCGTTGGTGTACATCTGTTGTGTACCTGTGTACCTGCCGGAGCCGACGGAGGAGACGTCGCGCGCCAGTGAGCGGAAGTTCCGGGAGCGATGGCTTTTTTCGAACCGCTTTTACACACTGACCGAAAGCCAGGTCGGCATCATTCAACGGTTTAGCCATCTGTTGTACACTTTGAAGTGCTGCGAGCGTTTCGACTGGGCACGGCTGCTCCTTGCGGACACTGGTGATGCCAGCACCGACCGCTCCAGAGACGGGGCTGGCCCGAGCGCCGGCCTTGGAGCTGGTGCTGCTTGCCGGGGCGCCGGCCCCGGGGACAGAGCTGGTGCGCCGGCCGTTTGCGGTTCAGCTGGTGCCTCATCGTCCAGGAAGACTCGTGTTTCATGAAACTGGCTTGTTGTGTACCGCTTGAATGAGATCCACTTCTCCGACCCAACTGAAAACGTAGGGACTTTGTTAATTTTGAACGCCACCTGTTGTGCTGCTGGACCCACGACCCGCGTCATCGTCTTAGCCCGAGTCATCCATCCTCTTGGGTCCTGCCCACCTCGAGTGAGGCCACTGCAATGGCGTGCTTATAGGTATATTGGTAATGACACTCGGTGCACCCTTCACACCAGCTGAGCCGACGCCCGACAGTAGATGTCGCCTCTGCTGCCTGCTGGGAGACGCGCGCGCCATCTAAAGGCGGGTTGGTGAAACAGCTATCAAAGGTCCGCTCATCACACTGAAATGTGTACAACTGTACACAAAGGTGGATCTGCACTGGTTGGAGTGGACATATCTACCTGGTTCATTGACCCGGCAGAGAAGAAAACTATCACTATTGTGAAAGATCTCTGGGGAATAAATGATACACAAATTCAATTTGTTCAGTGCCATTACATTTTATTTAACATAAAATGAGCTCCTGTACAGAGCAGACAAAAACACACAAAAAACACATTCAGCATGCTGATCTCACAACTCTTTCAATGAAAATATTGCATGCAAGTGTTTGTGTGCATCCCATAAAGCCTTAACAGCAGGGATGCGGAGCCGTGGAAATTTCAGACGGCTCCGGCTCCGGCTCCGGCTCCGGAGAAAAAAATCGGCTCCGGCTCCGGCTCCGGCTCCGGGTGAAATGTCATGGCGGCTCCGGCTCCGGCTCCGGCTCCGGCTCCGAGTAAAATGATCCGGCTCCGGCGGCTCCGGCTCCGGCTTCTACTCAGTACATCCCCTATGCGATCAATTAAATACGGGTGGAAGAAAAAAGGCGATGGGATTGGTAGGTACACGTTGCTTCTGTATTTGTATAACAAGGCTATTTTGAATACCAGATTGTTTTACGCCTTGTACTGTCAAACCGAACTAGGTAAATAATTGTTTCCTCTTCAGAAAAGGAGCCGGAGTCGCCCCCTTTTTTGACGGCTCCGGCTCCGGCTCCGGCTCCGGGCTATATTGTTTCACGGCTCCGGCTCCGGCTCCGGCTCCGGGCAAAATATGCCGGCTCCGGCGGCTCCGGCTCCGGCTCCGGCTCCGGCTCCGCATCCCTGCTTAACAGTGTTCCAGACTTTTCTTTCATGGCCCTACGTTTGACACAACCAACATCTTGATCTGGCAGAAACACAGAAAAAGGAAAAAATACTCTGAAAAATGGAATTTCTATTATACTTTGACAACTCAGATTTTGAATTATGGCACTTCTTGTACCATAAGAAAGAGTTGTGCTCAACACTTTCACCAACCATGCAATGAAGTACCTACATATCTAATATGTGACACATTAGTGCGACAGTAGCCTGTTGGAGGCAATGTGAATGAAATGATAAATGAAAACCCAGATTGCATGGTAAGCACATTATATAAGAACGATAAGAACATTACAGGTACTTTCAACAATGACTTTGACTTGCAAGGTTTGAATTTTGATTAAATAATTTAAGAATAGCTCCTTGAAACTTAGAACAACAATTGTGTCCAGCATGAGAACAATTGTGTCCAGCATTTCAAGTTAACTGGCAAAAGCAGAAAATATTTGCTTATATGGATAATAAATGGCCATTTTCCAAGAATACCTACTGTGGCATTGAGTAGTAGACAAATTTATGCCCACTGACTATGCATAATCATGGCAAATGGAGAAAATGGGGAAATGGACATTGAAATTGAAATGAAAAGTGGAGCAGAGATGGTTGAAACCGATGTTAGTTGTCGGACTTTCGTCCCCGTCTTGAGTTGAGATGTTAACATCTCAACTCAAGACGGGGACGAAAGTCCGACAACTAACATCAGTGATACTAACACCTCGTCTCAAGCATTCAGAAGAACTATGGTTGAAACCAATATTTAAACAACATTTCAATCTGAATCACATACCTATGCAATTGACAAAATACAAAACACAGATATTCATTCGAATACTTACTTCATTTCCATCGCAAACAACTCCACACCACACGAGGGACACGCCTAAGAGCTGGACTTTTTGATGACGTCTACGGGTGACGTCATGTCGTGTGTGACGTTTCGTGAGCAGGTAAGGAAAAGTCACCACCGCTGGCGAACATTGGTGCGGTAAATGGCAAACACAAATGCTGCGCAGAAAAGACAAATGTGTAACTTCTTCAGACAACATTCGTTCGGACGACAATGTCAAGGCGAATCAAGAAGTTCTTCATGCGATTGTTAGTTATCTGTCGTGCTATTTTAGTATGATTGTTATTAGCAGTTGATTTGTGAAATGTATTATCAAAATCAATGTTTATTGAACGCAGATTCAGTTTATTTTCAGATGTACCTAGGTACCCTTCCACTTCACTCATCTCAAGCTGTTCAAACACCCTTGACAAAGTCGATTAAGATGAAACGTTGGGTATAATTTATACTGTGTTTTCTCTGCGTTATTAACATATTCATCATATATACAATATAAGGGCCACATGCTTTTACAGGGAGACATGTCAGACAGCCCAGTAGGATGAGGCTTCGTCAAGCGTCATTTTTAGCAAAGCTTTTCTTGCTCAAAATCCAGTCTGCAAAACATGGCAGGGCTTACACTTTGGCTTACATTTGACTCCCAGCTGTTGTGTCTTTGCTATGCGATGTTAAACATATAAAACATCCTACTATTCATGTATGCGCCATGACTCATGTAATCTTTTCACAGCCAAGACGCTCCTAAGGTACTGGGAATGTGGGGAGTGCAGCAGCATCAGTGCAGCACTGATGGTCGGATGCAACGGCTGCGATAAATGGTACCACTTCCGTTGTGCGGGACTGACTAAGGAGCCAGGTAAGCGCAAATGTTTTCTGTGTCAGTATTTTTGTTGCAGCTATAGTGATCAATGAAATATTTTCCGCACTGTTCAGCCAAACATGTATTTAAAAAAATCTGCTTCCCAACCAAGGGCGTCGCCACAGGGGGGGGGGGGGGGACGGAGGGGATTCGCTTCGTGGCGTCGCCCCTGTTCCCAACTACACAAATTTAGTCAAACAATGTGCCAATATGGAATTTTCAGGTTCAGTTGAATTAAATCGGAACAATGATAATTGTAGATTACGTATACCTGCAAGAGAGGAAAACAGAATACATTGTATTGCTTGTCCTTCACCGATACTGTTATTTTTCCATTTCTAGAAACACCGACATGGCGATGCAGGTGGTACTGCCTGGTGAGGCCGCGGTCTCCGGAATCGCCTGCAGACGAAGTCACCTGGCGTCCATCTGCACATCACTTGCAGCAGTGAGGCCTGCTGACAGCGTCTGGCAGTGTCGGCAACGTGCCAGACAGCGATCTGGAGTCCTGCTCACCGCAGGTCGCCGACAGGAGGGGCGACGCATCGTCTCCGAGGTCGCCTCAGCAGCAGTGAGACCCCACTGGCCGTCTTCTTAGGCTTCAACTAGATTGCAAACAACCTATGCTGAGACAACGCCCATGACGTGTGATCCGGTACCGCTACCGCACTGCGTGCCTGTGCCCGCCGTGAGCCGCTAGTGCATGGGTTCGACCATGAGAATATGTGTTTATGTTGCTTTTACTATTGTTTATACGTTGAAGTGACGAATTGTTTATTTTTCGCAAGCCTCCGCTGTCCGGTTGCCTGCAGCTCCATGCAACGCCAGCTGTACTGTTGTTTTAATGTTGTCTCTCCGCTCAGCTGTACTGTTGCCTCTCCGCTCATAACAACCTATGCTGAGACAACGCCCGTGACGTGTGATCCGGTACCGCTACCGCACTGCGTGCCTGTGCCCGCCGTGAGCCGCTAGTGCATGGGTTCGACCATGAGAATATGTGTTTATGTTGCTTTTACTATTGTTTATACGTTGAAGTGACGAATTGTTTATTTTTCGCAAGCTTCCGCTGTCCGGTTGCCTGCAGCTCCATGCAACGCCAGCTGTACTGTTGTTTTAATGTTGTCTCTCCGCTCAGCTGTACTGTTGCCTCTCCGCTCATAACAACCTATGCTGAGACAACGCCCATGACGTGTGATCCGGTACCGCTACCGCACTGCGTGCCTGTGCCCGCCGTGAGCCGCTAGTGCATGGGTTCGACCATGAGAATATGTGTTTATGTTGCTTTTTATACTATTGTTTATACGTTGAAGTGACGAATTGTTTATTTTTCGCAAGCCTCCGCTGTCCGGTTGCCTGCAGCTCCATGCAACGCCAGCTGTACTGTTGTTTTAATGTTGTCTCTCCGCTCAGCTGTACTGTTGCCTCTCCGCTCATATATGACACCCTCTATATGAATGGCACTACTGATTGTCACACCCACTGTCCGTATTGTCCGTAGTGGTATCTACGCCCATGTTAATACAGCGTGCAGAATCCAGATTCTATTGAGGAGAGTTGAGCCAAGTCACCATAGGCTCGGGAAGAGAGCAACGTGGAGGCCCACTGCCCCTTCCCCGGCCCCCACTGGGGGCGCCAGCCACTCCAACTTTTGACTGGATGTCAAGAGCGTCGCCACGAGGGGAACGAGTCGCCGGCCAGCCAAGGTAGCCAACGGCGTGTGAAGGTTGCCTGACCTCGAGGAAACTGAGATGGCACCAACGGAGGTTTTGTTAAGTAGGCGACCAAAATTCGAGCGGCAGCAACCTGGGCACCTTCACAGATAGCAGTGCCGCGTATCAGGGCGCCTTCGACGTTGAGCTGGGCGCCGATCATCAGGACGCCGGGGGAATATGACCCAATATCCCCCGTAAATATGTGCCTCGGAAGGGAGACCCAACCATAAAACTGAAAGCTCGCCGCATTTTATCCACTATTTTTCGAGCGGGTCCATAGATTTCCGTCCTCAAAAGTGCGGGGATATTCCCCAGTATTTGAGTTGGATGGGACTATAGTGGCGTTTACACCGACAGGAGATTCCCATTGCCGGCTGTGGGAAACTACTGTCGGTGTAAACGCCATTCATATTTCCTGCGTCACCCCTGTGGGGACGCCCTTACTCCATGGTGCCGAGCTTATCAATTTGGATATCAATGGAATCAAAATCTCTTATCGATCGATGAAGAACTAAATTACCCCGACCCGGAGAGCGTCTTTGGAATCAAAGCAGTAGCACATGACGCAAGACTTCAGGCAAATAAATCCTTCTTGTCTGAAATAAAACATTTGTGTATTGATAAGCACGTTTTATAAGCAATGGTAGCATGATTCTCCATGTATTTGGTTAAAGTGATAATTTAGTAGCAGATATTTATCGTTGCATTTCGTTTTATAATTTATATTGTCAGAACTAGCAACATGTCTCTTCACTCAACAATAATTACAAAAGTGAAAAAGAAATGATAAAATGCTTATATTTTGGTGAAACTAAAAATTAATTCAGCACATATTTTTTTTACAGCGTTGAAGTCCAGCTCCAAAGGACAGCTGACGATCGTAGCCGAGCAGGCTGTTTGGTACTTCTTCACTACTTCTTAGAAGTACCCGTTAGTACCGATCATGTCTCACATAATAAGCTATTGGAACAAAAATATCCATGTTCTTCTAATTATTCTCCTTTCACACTTCAAATAAATACTTTTGAAATGCATTTACTAATCAATTTCACAAAAACGGCTAAAAATTTTACAACGTCAAAATACTTATTCCAATTTCCACCATGAAACCACCACTATATTACTTGCTTACAGAACCGTGCGCACAGTGCGCGCAGTTTTATCGTGACGTCAGAGGGTGCTTCCTCAGTGGCGCCCCCTGGCGGGGAACGCGTGCAAAAAGTCCAGCTCTTAGGCATGTCCCCACACGAGCCCCTCACATCGAAAATGATTGGAATGTAAACAACACTTGTCAAGGTTGTATGAAAACAATATGGCGGCTGTTGATTTTCGGCCGCTAAATGACTGCTTCGGCGAGAAAAGTTCAACCGGTCGAACTTTTTTCGGTCGTCGCGTGAACATCGCTTGGGCCGAATGCCTGAATAATATGGGCCGAATGCACCGTCGTTGGTCCGTTGTTTCGGCCGATATAAAGACTCGCGCGAGAAAATCGCTGCTGTAACGGCCGAATGAACCGGCCGAATGGCTAGTGTGCGGTGGCCTTAAGAGCAACCCAAGACGTAAGGCATTTTGTCGCGATTGAGAACAGTTGTGTCCTGTTCATCAGCATCAAAACCATGGGCATCACTCGTCAGCTTAAGAAAAAGCATCATATTGTTAGTAGGTAGCCATTCACTCGTAACCATGCTGATTGCTGAGCCCACTAAGAAGTGAGAACCAGAAACCATGTATCAGCAGCACAAAAGTTATCGTTACTAAAGCGAAACAGCGACATATCTTCTGAGTAATGAACAAAGCATGATTGAAGAGGATTCCGGTCGATTAAAAATCCTATAAAGTGCATACAAGGAGCCGTTTAGGTTATGTCCCTAGCTCAAGGTTGTGTTACTTAGAAAGGATGCAAGCAAAAAGTAAAATCATGTGACAATAAAAGTAATAATGTCAGGAAGTGATTTGAGCACAATCAGATTGCACAGCAGGCATATCATGCAATATGTAAGCAGCCGCCACATCAGCCACACTCAGCTCAGCTCAGCCTCAGCAGCCATGGCACGTACCTAGTCCTGCACCTCCCTGTAGGGGATCTCGGACGATATGGAGAAGTCGTCCAGGAAGTGGAACGTGTACTCGAAGGTGGGCCGCCGCTCGGGCTCGCCGTGCCAGCACTGCGCCATCAGGCCGTAGATGGAGTCTGGACAGACGACACTGGTCGGTTTCGGCATCCGGTAGCCCCTCTCGATGTGCTCGATCACCTCACGGTTGTGCATACCTGCGTAGAGCACGGACGATGCACACAAAGCGTGATGACGCCGCGAGGCACTGACATGCCGGTTTATACGTCATTCGTTCGGAGTAATAGCGAGCGGGAGTAAGCCTAGGCGTAAGCAAAGCGAGATGGAGAAGCAATAGCAAAACGTAAGCTATAACGGAGCAATGCAAGTCGGTACCGACGTTGAAAGCACGACGAATCTTATATTTGCTTTTCTAAAATGGGTATTTCGCCAAAATGACTTTGGTTAAGATCACCTTACCGTATTTACTATTGAATCACAGTAATATTGTTGCATTTGTCAAAGAGCAGAGGCAAAAAGCGCAGCGTTGACTTTCAAGGTGTCTCCAGTAGACGTAACATGAAATATAAAAAACATTTCGCCGACATCCATCGGTAACTCACTTGGTACTTACAAATAACTAACTCGACAGTGCTGTGGGGAACTCACCGGGGTACGGCACCGCTCCGTAGGTGACTATCTCCATGAGCAGAACGCCGAACGACCATACGTCCGACTTGATGGAGAACTTGCCGTACATGATGGCCTCGGGAGCGGTCCACTTGACCGGGAACTTGGCGCCTGCAGCAGCAAGACCAGACACATGGTCAGTTTGAATAGAGGGGTGATAGCGACTTTGGTTTTTTTGTGTTTTTTTTTTGTTTTGTTGGATTAGGCCCTTCCGGTCCAATTAGACCATTTCAGAGCCGGAAGGATGTTAGGAATTAGGGGAAGACATTGGTCTGGGCAGGCACCCTAGTGAGTCACCGGGGCTGAACCCGTCCAGAGGACAGGCCACCCAGCCCCAAGGCACTCACTGCACCCGGCTACGGGGTGCGCTCCCTCGGGAGCAGCGGTGCCGCTCCAAGGGAGCAGCCCGCATGAGATAAAGGTGCCTGTCCAGCCCGGAGGGGGGTTGCGGCGTGGAGAAGGATTTCAGTATCCTGAGGATAGATGCATGGAACGGTGACTTTGGTTTTATACACTCTGATCAGTTTAGTGTCGAGGAGGGGGTTTGAAGCAGTGCATAAACTTCTATATTTATCGATTATCGAGCTCTATGCACTGCGCGACTTACCCTGCTTGGGACAGTATTCGTTGTCTTCGATAGCCCTAGCCAGTCCGAAGTCGCAGATCTTCACCTCGCGGGCGTCACCGACCAGGATGTTCCTGGCCGCCAGGTCGCGGTGGATCAGACGCTTCTCCTCCAGGTAGGCCATGCCACTGGCCACCTGGCGGACAAACAAATTGGCTTAGTTTGGACTGATCCACGCCAGAGGCACACAAGCCGAATCACCGAGTGTGTCAGTCTGGACGTTCTATGTACGGTTTGCTGCGTTTATTACCGTGTATATTGCCAAGGCTGCCAATATAGAGAAAGTTTAACATAAGTACGATCTCTCCTCTATCCTCTGATCAAACGCTTTACTTCTTTGCACCGTTAAAAGATACCAACTAGGCGTCGACGTTGTATGCAAATAACTAATAACTAATAAGTGTTACATTTGCTGTCTTCGAGATGCAGCATCGATACCTACAAGTACCTAAATTCTAAATTTATAAACAATCCCGATCAAATCTTAAGGAAGAGGCCCGCATGCATAGTTGGTGGCCACCACAAAGCATGCATGGATAGCACCGGTCCCGCTGAACCGGCTACTGGCGACACGAAACGGCGACACAGAAAAGATAACCACACAAGGACAAACATTGTACGTATAATCTGCATATAATGTATGCATATCAAAACAAAACCTTTGACGACGCAGTCACGCAAAGCTGGCATACAGTAAACATATCTCTTTTACGTCCCCTTCAGGAACAACAGACCAGCACCCATGCTCCAATCGCCATGCTGGCTGTGCATGGCATAGAACATCTACAGATCATCACAGCCCGTCAAGCGCAATGCATAACCCAAATTCCACAACCTCCCACACACCCCAGACGGCACCCCAGGTCACCCACCTGTCCGGACATGTAGAGGAGGTCGGGAAACTTGCACTGCTTGCCCTCGGGTTTGCGCAGGTAGTCGAGCAGACTGCCGTTACACATGAACTCGGTGACGATCAGTATCGGCTCCTCCGAGCAGACGGCATACAGCGCCAACAGACGCTCGTGTCTGGTGGAAAAAGAGAGGGATGTTCTTATGAAGGCTTCGGTTCGGTTTGAAGGGACTGTAACGCAGTTCAGTTCTCCACGTGTAATTACAGTGACATAAACATTAAGTTGAAGAGGCATTCTTATTCAGGCAAAAATGAGAAATAAGCCCGCAATTTACAAAGGGCCCAATCGAAAGCATAAATGCCGAGAATCGTTGCAAGAGACTCTAACCAGCAGTCATAATAAATATTCCTCGGTCTAATCACACAAATCAGCTATCGCACTCCAATAGCCGTTACGTCTCAATCAACCACCACCGAACCCGGCGGTCTAAGGCGGCAGGGGCCAACTTCTGAGCCGCAATTTCCGCTAGATTGACTCCTAAATCCGAGCCCATCTCACCTGAACTTTTTCATGATCTGCGCCTCAGCCAGGAAGGCGGCGGGGGACATGGAGCCCGGTTTGAGCTTCTTCACGGCCACTTCGGTCTTGTCACGCCACAGGCCTGGTGGGGAGGAGACACGTCAGATGGTAGTGGGGTGATATCCCTACGTCAGTATGGTGGTGAGGTCATACCCCCTATACATAACCTATCGGTTACTCCTATCTGGTGGGACATAGCCGCTGCTGGTGTCAACCTAGGGTGGCGAACATGTGGAAATGGATGTTGTACATGTTGCGATGCTCGGCGACAAAACAACGCGCCGCATTAAGAGTGGAATGGAATGGATGGAATGAGGTGAGGTTTTGGAGCGGAGTGGGATGGGATGAAGTGATCTGGTACGATAAATTAATTACGGATGGTTTCCCGAAGGATGCTAAGGTATAGCTAAATGTGTGCCATTATGAATCGTGGTAGCTTTATTGCGATTTAAAAGATCTCTTCCCACGTCGATTAATATCGACAACTAAAACTAAAAAGTTTGATAAGTGAGGTGAATTTTCCCTAAAGTGTTAAATAAGGAATAAGGAATAAGGAAAACACGTCCGAAGCTAATAGCGGCCACTTATACAAACAATTTTGGACGAATGTTACACATAAGGCAGGTACATATTATGCAGAACGTTTAACATCCTATAATGGTGTTGGTGAATTTGCAATACCTATGCTGGCAAATATGTATAGGTACATTTTACAAGCTAAGGTAAACCAGAATCCAAGAATGCAATTACGAAAGTTCTTTCATAACGCATCATCAGCCGACATAAGCTAAAACTTACCATACCACACTTCTCCGAAGTTCCCGGAGCCGAGCACTCGTTTCATGGTGATCTCCGATTTGTCAATCTCCATCCAGTGGTTCCTGGTCTCGAGCGACAGGTCCCACATCTGCGGTTTGGGCCGCGGACATACTTGAGTGAGCACGTGGCACAAACCCTTGGCCTCCTCTGTGAACAAATAATCGATAGTTGAAGGAACATCCATCTAGCTATTCAATGGACATCATAGGATATCGTCATCATAGGTCGTAGAATAACAAGATGACAATCCATGGGCGATAAATGCACCAAAAGGACGAATTATGGGCTCAGTCGTACAATTCAAAAGAAAAGAAACGCTAGCATTGGCATTGGACAACATCTGAGGTCACCACATCAACCCCCGCAATGTTAAATATCACATCTAAGGCCCACCGAGCGCTTGATCTGCCCCAGACCACATTCTTGTGTCTCGTTCCCTGTCGGCAGTCCGTTCGTGCCACTCACGTGCATAGCTGTTGATGAGGCTCCTCAGGTCCCTGTAGGTGTTTCGCGGCGCTATGTAGTAGCCGCCGTCATCCAGCCGGTGGATCTTGTAGTGTTTGACGTGGCGACCCCTCTGCGGCTCCCAGTCCTGTAGGCGAACAAGAGGGGGGGGGGGCGTGGTCAATGACGGCGAGTTAGTAAACGACGATAGTCGATAGGAGCGCAGTGTACAGGCAGGGCAAAAAGCCACATAACACAACGGCCGTATGGTGCGAATGAATAATTTACGGACAAATTGATTGAACGGATCGATAGTCCGGCCATCCATCGTTCACTCGCGAGGGAAGTATCAATAGCACATGCTAGGCGATGGCTGACGCCCGTCTTGGTCTATTCGCATAGATCAAGACGTTGTTTAGTCACAAACCGACGACTCTATTTAACGGGATCAGTTTTAAAATCTTCATTGCAGAGGTTGACGAAAAAATAATACTAAGAACTGCAACGTTCACACCAAGTTAAGTAGCTGAAATGAAGAACAGAGTACAGTCCAAAGTCAACAAACAACCATCGACGTTTCAGACAAAACACAAACACCTAAGGCGGAGTTAAATCAGGGATCCCTAGTAGATCCTGGAGAGATACACATCTCAAGCAATAATAACACAATACTCAAGCAATAATAACTTTTTTGTGAAAACAAAAGAGGGATCAATGACGCAAGAAGTTGGCAGCATCGAGGTCGACAGTCGATGCGGTCGTCACTGCGCGTAACCCAGTTCTCGTAACAAGGAAAAAGGGCCTAGAGCAACAATACGATCGTTTCATATATTGACTAGCGACGTCTACCTGGAAAACGAATTAGCAATGCATTATGCCGCCAAAAAGCCTTCCTTGTTTTCACAAGGTAACAAAAACATCAAATAACATCACGAAATCCCATTAGTCGTAGAGAGGAAACGGTAAACATTGGACAACGCTTATCAACACGAATCAGCCAAGAATATACGGAAACAAGAAATAAGATGTATTTTGAGATTATAAAAAGGCACATGATCTAACAATTGCTCGTTTTATTTTTTATAAAAGCAAGGAATAAATATGTTGCTTGAAAGTTGTCGGAGCTCCAATTATTCGGAAACATTACGAGGAATTGAGAAAAAGGACAAGGAGAATTTATAACTACATAAAGTAAATGAGCGATATAACACCGGTAACGGTCGGAAACACGGAGGTCCCCAAGCGTGTAACGTTTACCTGAACGGAGAGAGAGCACATGCTGGTCATACGCTCGGAGGGCCGCACCAGGAACGTGCCGCGAGGATTCTCCGGCAGCAGGAGCAGCGTCTCCGCCTCCTTCCGCGAGATCCGGTTGAAGTACCAGCTGCCAGAGACGTCAAAAGGGTCAGCATCAAAATGAGTAAGGGAGTGCAGCACAGCGGACTAGATATGCAGAATTATTGCCTCGTGGCTCAAAATACAACATACATCACGTTTGACTGTAAACAGGTATCAAATAATCCTATATACAAAAAATTGATTCCGTACCAGCATCACAGTATGTTCAGCTTCTCCCTTTTAGCCGGGCTAGTTACATCGTATTTCAGGCGGAGTAGACCAATGCCACATTTCCCCACCCTTCCTTCCCCGGCCGACAGACTCACTCCTCGCTCTCCACTGACGCCTCGGTGGCCACGTAGTTCCTGGGCACGAAGCCGGTCTGGCCGGTACCCAGGTGGTGCACGTTCAGCCAGTCGGGGTCGTTGTTGCCCTCGGCGGCCGCCTCCATTCTGTCGCCCTTTCGGAAGCTGATGTCGGAGCCGACGCGGCTCTCGTAGCTGTAGAGCGCCCTGACGACCCGCGGGCTGCCGCCGCGCGGTGGTGTGCCCGTACCGGACGGCCGCGGCTGGGAGAGCCCTGCTGACACGAGGACAGGTTTAGTTAGGGGTCAGGTCAGGGGTCGAGTCAGAGGTCGGGTCAGAGGTCGGGTCAGGTTCGGGTCAGGGCGTGGTCAGGGCAGGATCATGGTAGGTTCAATGTCGGGTCAATATCGGGTCAATATTGGATCAGTTAGGTCAAGAATTGGGTTGGTATCACCTCTAGGACATTTTCCAACAACAACAACAAAAACAAACACAAAACGACAGACGTTATATGCTCTCCAGTGACATGAGCTGATTGCTTGCTGATTATCACGATTTCGGTCCATATGAAAGACTACAACAATTCATTATGACGCAATTAAACAGAATAAGTCGTATCGCAGCCATTTGCACTGCATTGATGAGTTTGGATACGAGAGAGTGGACATGAAACTTCAGAACGAAAACCTGAAAACGAACAACGATAAAATAAGGCATGCCATCTGCAAAAGGAATGCAAAAAAGAACAGTGGCCTTTCTTCAATTCGCAAGCCAGTAATAGGTACAAATGCAGCATATCACAGCAGCAGTTGGTAGGTAAAAAATATTCAAATAATAAGTACACGGTGCATAAATAAAAATCATACAGCAGGTGCAAGGGACGACCTTATGAGAAAAACATCACAACCGTTAGTCATGCTCGGCAGTCGGTTACTTTCATGGTGCAGTTCGAAGTAGCAGAACACAAGATAAACAAACAAACGATACATTCGCATTCTCATGACCGAGCATAAACAAAACAAAACATTAGTACGGTGCATCTTTCAAGGCGTCAATCGCTGCTCGGTAGCCCCATCAGGCCATGTACACAAGCCGAGGACAGCCGCCCTCGACTCGCCAGGGCTCATGGCCGCTGTTCAGGGGCGGCAGCGGATGCCACTCCACAGGCGGAGGCCCGGCGCCTGTATGCTCCACTCTCACACCGTGCGGGGATGGACCGTGGGGCCGTGCCGGTGCAGTGTGACCGCCGCCTTACCCCGCGAGCCGCTCCTGTGGGAGGTCCTGAGGGAAGTACCTGCCGACCGACAGGAGGCCAGCCGGCCGCCGGCTGTAACACCGCCGACGCCACCACCGTCAACACAGGGTCACACTGAGCTGTGTCATTTCCCGCCGCTAAGACCGTCCACGCAGGGTCACATGGAGCTTACACCACCTCTAGCCCACGTCGACCGGTCATTGCAGGGTCATCCACCCATTCACCAACCCCAGCACTGGGTCACCAGCCCCATCGCTCGCCGCTAGGTCACACATATGCGTGACCCGTGTCCCCGTCACGTAGGAGGGACCTAGTGACCGGGTACATAGTGACCCGGTGACACGCTAACCATATCAGGCACCACTGCAACGCACACAGGCCAACGCAATATCGAACACCAAAGCATAGCTCCAAACTGCCGAACAACACATCAAATAATGGTCGATAGTCAGTAATCACTATAGTCAGTTTCACCACCAAGCGGCGAACGGACATAACACCTCACTCACTGGCTGACCATCACCCTCCGGTAACACAGGAAGATATCTAAATTCTGGCACGCTCCACTCCCCTGTTCGTCCTCTCTGCAGCCTCACCCTTCCTCCCCAGCTTAGACTCCACCAGTGCCCGGTGGGGCACCCTAATGACCACCTGGGGCGCGGTGCGGCGAAAACCAGCCACCCCAAGATTTATGATGCTCGCGATGAAGCCGGTCGGTAAAATCCGTGATTTTGTTTTACTGACGGCGTAGCTACGTGACCCACGACCCATCGGGCACGATCATATCCCAGGAGGTCGCATGTTCAATGTGCATGTGCACCATCGGCAAACACCGGCGAACGGGGGCCGTTTGTTGTCGTTAGAGGGTTCGCGGTAGGTACTTTGTCGGCACGCCGCGAGATAAGCGGTGATGCGGCGGTTTGCTTTGGCCCGTGGCGGAGTGTTTGTAAACGCAGACCTTTATAACGGAATGTGAATCCCAGGTGGTGAATGGAATGATGACAGCGAGTCGCGAGAGATCGCCTTTCCAGTGAAATGGACAACATCAAACGACCAAGCAGAAGTTGTGCCATATCTATCACTAGAGTACCTAGGCACTCAATCAAACCAAGCGTTTGTAGGATGCATGCGAGGAATTCGACAGCAATGAAACTTTCCACTAGACCATCGGCTGCCTAAGAATTGTTCAAAAGATGCGGAAGTAATCGTTTTTCAATTCCAGGAACACCACCGATGCATTTTGTTGTGAAGTTTCGTCGAGCGTGGCCCGTCTCCAACACACCACAAACTCAGCTTCCAGTGAGTAAAGCCGGATCGTTTCAGCAGCTCAGTCGCTGCCGCAGCCGTGTAGTTTCGCAGCTGGGCGGATCGGGCCGCCGATGGGCAGCTCCAGTCTCTGTGCCGGAGGTCACTGGCCTGGGGTGCAGACTCGGCGGCGGCGACCGGTCAGAGGCGCGCCCACCGGCCGAGATCGAACCGACCGCTGCCTGGCGCCCTGCCAGACGAATGTCCATGCCGAGCAGCGGTGCCGCACCGCAGCTTTGGCAGTCGATGACGGGAGCGCCGGTCGTTAACTCCCGGCACCAGGCACTGGCCGGTATATCGTTCACCTCCAGTTCCGCGCAGCCGGCGCCCAGGTCAGCGCAGCCGGGCCGCGCGCGCAAAAACAACAGCCGTCGCGTCACAGTGCAGCTCTCCGCGGCAAAAAGACAACAGGTCGTCGACGAGGGGTTTTCTGCGCCGCCTCCCGGCCTTCTAAAACGGATGGAGACGCGCGGCCGGCCCACAGCGCGGCGGCAGAAGGAATACCGGAACAATGGCAATGAGAGGAGGCGGACAGCGGCCGGACGGTGTCGCACCGTCTGATACGGGGCGGCGATTCGTCACCGGCACGGGAGAGCTCTCCAGTGATGCGTCATGTCGAGAGGAGCGGGTACCTACCTCCCGACCCCCTCCGGCGCCGGGGACCGGTCCAGCCGCCACACTGTCTCACTGGAAACCCCGTCCAGACGGCGAGAGGGGGCGAGACAGAGGGGAGGGGTGCTGATCCTCTGACAGCCAATGGGGTCAAATGAGGTCACGTCAGCGGCGGTTAAGAATACCACCGTGTGGATGGAGCAGCTGCAGGAGTTGACGGCAATCAATTCGGACGGTAATCGATTTAATCACTTAGGAGTTCCCTGATTAATTGATCTCGCTTTCCATCTAGTTAATGGTAGACGGAGGCCGTCCGCAGTTTGGAGAAACAGCTTAGAAATTAACGTACTTAAGCCGGAAATTGCTGGCTCCATTCATAAGCGAACTTCCCGAAAAATGAACAGCCTACGCCACGAAGGACGCGGAAAAGCAGCTCATTCGTAGGTAATCTACATACATTCAGGATAAACTTTCCTCTAGTGTCATAGAATCAGTTGCTGCCCAACAGCAGGTCTTCCGTCACACCAGTTTGAACTCCAAATCAAACGATCAGCCATCCATTTCATAGCTCATACCACACACGAACAATGGCCTGGAGGAATTGGCAGTGCACTTACGATCCGAGCACACATTACCGTCACATATGATACATGATCATTGCCGTAGCCGGACGGGCGCTGCGCCCCACCCCAGCGAGGTACGATTGCCGGATGGTAACCAAGCCGTGCCACCGCCTTATGTCTACCGTCGTGGGCAGACGGGCTCACCACGTGATGTCAGACAGCTCACAGATGACGTCACGAGACGGAATATCGAAGGATCCCAGCTGGCAAATATAGCACCATGAATCGATGCTTGCTGGTGAGGTCATCAACCCGCATTTGGATCGGTTCAACTGAATCAAACGGTACCTTCCGATTGAAAAGGTTGGGCAATGGGCATCGATATATTTTGGACGGTAAATGGCTTTGCTTGAACAGCCTTTGTACTTATCAGCACGCATCAGGTACCATACCTATAATATTTGCTAATTGCTATGCAGTGGTTTGTGGACGCTTTGGACTCCTACATTTCAAATAAACACTCAAATTCAAAACATGTCCCACCCACGGGTCACGCACAGTCTGAATTATGTCGGCTGTTGTAGCCTCGTCGCCCTCACGTAACCCCACTCCTCCTCCTCCACCTCATTCCCCAGCCTCCTACGTTCCTCACCTGACGGTCGGATGACGTCACCACGAGGACCGTGAGCGGAGGACATGACCCCTCCTCGGGACGGAGTCTGCTGGCCCTGCGCCGCATCCCACGACCCGCCGTTGGACGCCACTCGCTGTTCATCTGCAAAGAAAAGACAAACAATTGAGATATTGGTGCTACGGTAACGATTAGCCATTTCGTACCTTTATCCGGCTGGGCAGCAAAAGAATGCACTAAAGGCTACGATGATCTTGAAAAGGAGCTATGTCAAGTGTCAACATACAAGACAAACAGAAAACATTTGCGTGCAGATTATCAAGGACTGAGGACATGAATTTTGTGATCCTGTTCACATAACATCAACATCAGGGTTGCATCGCAGCTAATGCCGGGTACTAGTAACCATTACTAGAACTACGAAGGCTGCATTTCAACGTTATCAGCGTCACACGTATACCCCTTACTCGAGCCACATGATGCTGGAACGTCATTACACAACGCTTTCCTGGCAAGCATTACCACCAAGCACTGCATCGCCGGCAAATCTCTGTCAACGGGGCCGAGATTTGCCGTGGTGCCAAGCACGTCCGGTTACCTTCCGGGCGTGCATGGCACCACGAGCACGGCCGGTTACCTGCCGGTGTTACCGGTTCAAAGTGCGCCGACGGGCCGTGGCGTGCCGTACTGCCGACTCTGACCGGCCCCGCGCGGCGGTCCAGCCAGGAGCCGCCCGGGCCTGCCGCGGCCGATAGGCGACACATCAGCCGTCACTGTCCGGGCAGCTCGCGTGCTGCAGGTGTTAGTGGAGTCCCGTCGGTCGGACGGACGCCACGGGAGCAGCACCCCTAACATAGCGTGGTTGGTGTCTTTGTTCATGTGAATCTCATCCAGAAGCGTGCGCGGTGTGAGATGGAGCTCGCCTTCGCGTGTGTGAGTGAGCGGCGCCCGCACAGGAAGCCAGAGTTAAAGGGACCATCCCACCTTAACATTAGTTTTGAGTTGAGATAGCCAAGTTTGCGGCCAGGCTCAGAAACCACCATTTATCCTGGTCGCAACTCCCGCAGCTTTATGGTGTTCAAGAAATTTCTTCCCTTTACTTGCAGGGTGGGACCAGCTTAGTCCCTATCTCTTAACCATTAGCGGTTTTTTGATGACGTCAGCAGTCATTTCAACGCCCGCCATTCCTTGAACCCGAGTTTTGCTGACCTTGAGCTCCCTTTTTTATCAACGTGAAATCCGTCGTCGGCGCTGAGAAAGCCTATTGCTTTTCATTTTAATTTGAATATTAGAAGATACCCACCACTGGAACTTGGACTGATATTATACCAAGGCCGAAGATGATCAAGCTGCCTGCTATATCTGGAGCTTGGTGTTCAACTTCAACATGGAATAAAAAACAAAATATCAAAGCAAACTGGATATGGTACTGCAAGTTAAAGTCCAAAGAAATTTGAAGAGCTGACAATTGACATTAATTCTTTTCCTGCAAGGTTTCCATATGGAGATCACAGTCACACCATGAAGAAATATTTTTGATGTTAACAGTTGAAAGGGGATTTATCTTCCAGTTTTGACGAAAGACGCTGCTGACTGTCTTTGGAAAAGGATGTCGGCATGAGGTGCAATTGTGCTTGTGAAGTGGTTATAACTGGTCTTTTCACAGTATTAAATTAAATGTGCCATTGCAGCCAAGTGTGTTATCATGTAAGGTAAAATCAAAACTACAATGTTGGTTTTACGAGCATTGAGAAGGCTGGTAGGTAACACCTGCCTGTGCTCGTAAATCATGCTGCCAGAGTATTCTAAATTAATTTTATCATACACTTTTGTTGTCCAGAATGGTTGCACTATTGTTTGGTATCATATTATTCCATGTAAATATGGTAGTGTAAAGTCCGACCAACATGTTACCAGATTTGAAGCTGTTACGTTACCTAAGTACCTGTTTTTTACTGGCGTGGTGAATGTCACCTGGATTTTGTTTTGAGGTGCAGACCTAGTAACTCTCCTCTGACTGCATGGGTTTGAAGCTATTATCTATTCTGTTTTTACTGGCCTGGTGAATGGCGACTGATGTTGTCCGTGGATGGCACTGAAACAAATTTTGAGTGTTTTGTACAGTGTTTTAATACAATGCTGAGGGCTGAAAGTTGTCTTGTTTAGAGTGGTGAAAGTTCAGGATATGCCAGCCACCATGGTGGTCAGTTAAATGTGTTGCAGTCAGTTCGGCTTCGGCAAGCACACGGATGGGCATACGCATCAAGACCTGCTCTGCCATACTTTCAGCCAATTTTACCTAGGTAAGTCTTTTCTTTTTTTCCGCCAAAAGCTATGACATTGTGAATTTCAGCACTGTGGCCTGTGTGTAGCTTTCAGGAAAGCAATTCTAAATAAAGCTCTGATAAAGTGCAAAATCAGCAATGCAGCCCTCTATTACATTTTCTACAACATCTTACTTGTTCCTTGCATGGAGAGAAAAATGCAATGTTATGAATTCGTTTATTCACATAATTTGACAAGCATGCAGTTACCTGCTACTATCACTGCACAAAACAGAGCAGAAAACATCAGTTGATCAAACACAAGACATAACAGAAGTTTACAACATAGGGCTGCCGAACCTGCTTCCTCCCACCACAGTTGATGCCATTTCCTAGCCTGGCTTGATGTGAGCACTGAATAGCTGCTCTGTCTAATTACAGCTCACTACCATTCAACTTAAACTACTCTCTTTAAAGTAAGAGTGAGAGCGTTCAGTGTTCATAGCAGCTCGACAGACGACAGACAACAAACATCTTGACAAACCAACCAGTATTTGATTTGGCTAATGATTTATGTGCTTGTTGTATCATGGCCAAACTACTTTAACAGCAATAATCCCTGTTTCATCTTGATCTTGCTTTTATTTCCATTTGAACTCAGATCTTGAAACAATCATCTGAAGTGATATCAGATACTGACTTCTGTTTCTCTTGAAAGCAAGTTAAAACAACAATGATAAACTAAGGCAGGAGATGTGAGTTGTGGCAGTAGATTTTTGATTCAACATATGTCAACCTTATATTGCTTGAGACCTCTGTGACAGACAAACAAATATTTATAGTTTTTTGATAGTTTGGATTCTTGGCTTGATTTAGCAGATCAGCTGTGAACCTTGACTTTGAAATCACATAAATGTCATGGTACCCGAACGAATCCTCGCATGACATTTCTTCGTAGCACAATTTTTCGTCCGCATTTCTTCGTCTACAAATCTTCGTCGGTGCATTTATTTGTCCCTCAATGCTTACTCTTGCATATATTTGCGTTGAAGAAGAAATGCGAGCCGATTTTCATATACCCTGGTGCGAGACAAAGTAATGCGATAGGTACGAATAAATGCCCTGACGAAGATTTGCAGACGAAGAATTGCGATACGAAGAAATGCCATAAGAATTGTCCTGGAACCTTTATTGGCCATCATATATTGACCTTGATAAGATAAACGCATCATTCGCGCAATATTTGTCGCACTTTGATACCAAACTATTGCTTCCAAATGCCGACGTAAAGAAAACCTTTATGTGACGTCATAGAAACAGCGGATTTCCCAAAAAGTAAACAAAAATAAAAGTCTTATATCTCGAAAACGGGTGAATATTTTCCGGTAAAATTTGGTAGATGTTCATTTTCGCTCTTTGTGATTCACGCTACATCACTTTTATGCCAATTCATCAACTTTTTTGAAGGTGGGAGGGTCCCTTTAATGGCAGCCGGCAGACGGGGAAGGAAACTCGCGCCGCCGCAGCTCACACCTTGACACGGAAAATGGGCCGCTCGCGCGGGCCTAACCGCCGGCTCCGCTGCCGCCTGCCAGTGCCGCCCCCACAAGTACTGCCGCAGACGGCGCCGCACGTCACGCCGAACGGACACAAAACGTGATCGGATTGTAGATTTTCGGATAACTGTATCCCTGCTTTGCAAGAGCAGAGTTCAATAGCAGCCAATGTGCCATGTTTCTGGTGATCATTGTGGTTTCGTGTCAATCATTTATTCGTCGGCTGTCCGGGCCCTAATTCAATATACCCTGGTCCGGGCTGTCCTCTAGGGACGTTCAGGGTCTATCGCCACCCTAGGTAGAGCGACAATCAATTTCGTAACGACTGTGTGTACCGTCGTTTCCAGGACGACGAATGACAGCATTGCAACGCCAATCCATTCATTGCAATGTCGACTAGGTATTATACCTTAACGATCCCCATCAAACTCAATAGCAACTGCAAACCAGCAGAGCATCATCTAAGGCACATTACTCCAAACAGAGGAACACCTCGATACGCGCAAAAACGCCACGCTCCTCTCCCGTTTGCTTGCCTGTACCTCTCTAAGCTGGTGGGCCCCACGCGAGCGAACCCAGCGCGGGGGTACCAGAGCCACGCGCCTGGCGCGTCGGCGCTATCACCGCGGTAATGGGTGCCGCGACTGCCTCGCTCCGCTCCAAGAGCTCCATAATGGCTCGGCAAGGCGACGGGTCGGCGTCGAAATTAGACGAGAAGGCGATAGAATGAGGCGGGAAGACGAGAGAATGGGGCGTAACGCTCTCAGTGTGTCACCTCCTCTGCTGCTGAGCTGCTTTGGTGCCGCAATTGCTGCACGGGAGACACAGTGCTGTATGGCTCATTCAGGAATGATGCAGAATGGTGGGAATGGCTGAAGGTGGTGGCATGATGATTGTGGGAAAATGGGGTGGGACGGTTTGATGGTAAATTGCAGTGAAAAATGCTGCGCTATACGTTGTTGCAATCGGCTGGAGCTAGTCAAGCGTGGAATCTAGTTGGTAGGGAAAAGTGCGAGGTGATCAATATTTTGGAAAGCGAGGTCTGTAATAACCGAAGACAGAAGGAGCGTGGGATAAGGGTCACGCCACCTTCCCCAGCTCGCGCGAGGATAAGGGCCAGTTATGGGCGGACGATGGAGCGGCGGACACCCACACGGCACAGTTCAGCCGCCCATGGACCACTGACTTCGGTGACTCACACTGACCGGCCTAGCAACAGGACGAGAGTGACTAACAGAGTGATCACATGGCGCTGACCAGCTGTCGTTCCGTGAAGAGACAGCACGGCGCGAGGTGGCGTGAGACGGGCCGAACCAAACCTCACCGCGGACCGGCTGCGCAGAAAGGAGAAACCTCGGCGGCGCCTACAGGACGGTCAAACATGATTAATTACACTTTCGGATCGCATAAAAACGACGTAAAACAAACACCAGAGTACCGTGCGCTAAAAACAAAGACGCCCACAGTCGACTATAAAACAAAGTGGAAGTGGAGTTAGGCTGGTGACTAAAAACATGCCATTGGCGGCGCCGTCTGGACGATGTCATCGTGCAAGGCTGACGGGCTGTAATATGGAACGATCACAATCTGAAACCGGCCGTGGCGCCGGCCGTGACACGACAAATTACCATCTAATTCGAGCGCGCCGTTCGGTGGACCGCTGCACATCGACACGTGGTGGGTCTGTGCCAGTTATAAAGCCGAGCCGGACACCCAACGGACAGTGCGGAAAAACAGTCGGGTTGATAGCATCGGGAGCGCGGTGGTCCGGACCGGCCACTGCAGTCGTCTTCACCAGGACCGTGTTTGGCTGTTTTTCCTTTTCCGAGTCGGCACGAACGACGTGATGGAAGGCTCTGACGACCGTCCCGCACTGAGAAAGGCCGACCGTGAGTGAGACGCGTCCGACCCAGTCCATCAGTCCCGGAGTGCAGAACTGAGTTCAGGACGTCCCATGATAGAACCGCAGACCACTAGTCGGTCGGTCAGTCGGTCAATCCCAAACACGCGTCATTTCCGGTGACAGCAGAAGCACGCGACTTCCGGCAGACCCAGCCAGAGCCTGCAGCAAACCCATCCGCTCCGTGCAGTTGGTTTGAACGAGCTACCCAGTCAAATCACTGCCAATATGGCCTTCGAAAGGAGGTACAACAAGCGTGTATTGAAATCCAACAGCTTTAGAACGCGCACTCGCCTCTTTTGATTGACGTTTCTGCGACCATGGCAAAGATCGAACACAGAAAGGCATTCATTCGCCACATGCATGCATCATTTGACGAGGGAAGTCAATTCACTTAGTGATAAATTATATATGTATGTATACGTCTCCGTCGATGACATAACTTCATTCCCTCTTTGCAGAATATCAGTAATCATATCAACACGTTACGACTGCGACCATCTTTCAATATCAAGCCTCCTGCCCAACAAGCCGCATAAAGACGGGGAGCGTATATCCCCGTGATCTATATGGTGCGCTATCAAATTCGGGCGGAATATCGAAAAACCTCATCCCTCCATGTTCACAAAATCAACAAACACGTCCATAAGGCGGCCGGGCGGGACCGACACACCGTCAGAATAATTACAGAGTCGCATCTTCGGTTCGCACGCCGCTCCCCTGGGTACAATGCCGGCGCATCCCTCCACATTTGGGGAAGGGGATATTGCTGGATGGAATGGTGAGTGAAGAGGTGAGGGGAGGGCAGGCAGGGAAAGAGTATTATCTGATGCGAGCGGAAAGGACAGCGCCCCTCCCCGGGGATGCGATGGGTGCAGGACTCGGTACTGAAGAATGCTGCGATGATACAATGGTCCGGGACGGGTATGAAGGCAATCAAAGCGCTGAGAAAAGGCGCAACAGCTCCCTATTCAATAGGTGAGAAAGGGTGTCCACTAGTAAAGGTACGGTTTATACGAGACAGGCATTAGTAAAAAAAAAGATCGTAGCTTGATGTTAAATTCAACAATAATTAACATCACATTTAGCTTTCTTAAGCTGGCTGTTTCAAGCCTTTCTGGAAAGCTATAGAGCTCTCGTTTTCAAGCTGCTGACTTGTTCGAAGGTAACTTCCTCGTGCCACCACAACCAAGTTACAATCTATAAATCGTAGTTCCAGCCATGCATGTGCTCCTAAGCGGCGCTATATAATTATTCAAATGAAAATGTTTAAATGGGAACATTAAACCAAATTTTCACACAATAGGTACCTATGGTTTTAACAAAAAAGTATTGCTGCGAGCGTATCGTGCTGTGATGACAAAAATTGCGGCAGTTTAAGCTTCATTGTCTGGTAAAGCGCGATTATCAGGATAATTAGGTAGGGACCAGCCTGGGGGCATGTTACTTACGTTGTGAGCTGCTTTGCCCCATGATGGTTGGCTTCAGTTGTGCCTTGGTGAAACAATTACCCATGTCACTCCGCTAACTCGCCGAATAATCCTGAAACAAAACAGAGAAAACTCATTAGAATACAATAGTAAAAAATATATGCCTGCAAGGAGTCGAGAGAAAGTATCTATATCACCTGTAATGTAGGGCACACGCAACTTTTACAGCTGACGTCTGATGATTGCGAAGTAAGTCAGCACACCAGTAAGGCTGCTAAAGCAAGAACAATTAATCCGAATCTCATTTAACTTATGTTAGCCATTTTCTAGTGAGCAGGTAGCAAGCTGGTGAAAACGGCGTGTCATGTGCGACCACAACTCGGCTCCACCAGCATCAGTATCATCCAGTTGGAGCACCCCTCCCCGCGGGGATCGGGCGCCGAACCGGGTCGGACCGGACCATTACCGACCGGATGCATTGGGCCCGACCGGGCCAAAGGTGGGTCACCCAACAGGCTGGGACCGTGGACCTGTGCGAGACATCACTTCGCCGTAAAAGGATCGACTTCGTCATCAAATGACATCGTCCCAAAAGCAAGTTTCGGCAACGTTCATATACCTTAGTGGGGATTGAAACTTAGCAGTGGTACCTATTACAGACAGACCAATTCAACTACCTAAATTATTTTGGATATTGTAAAAATGTCATTGAGAAGCGCAAATGGCCAAATCGGTATCTGACCTCCTTAGCTTACGCTACAATGTCAAACGTGCCGGGCGTTTAGACGCCTAGCTGACCGACAAAACGCCACTTGAGAGCGCGGCAAGGACCAAAGCCGTAAATCCAGCTGCAGTCCGAGCTTCGAGCCGCGGGCTGCGGAGTCGCGGACTGAGCTTGGACGTGACGGAGCACAGGGCACGGGGCGACACGGGGCGACACTCCGGAGCCACGGCTGGCGCCGGGGGCGGGGCGGAGCGGGGAGGCGGGTCCTCGGCGCCGGGGGCGGGGCTGGCGGGTCACCGGCGCCGGGGCCGGGGGGGGGGGGGGCAGGCAGGTCCCCGGCGCCGGGGGCGGAGCGGGGAGGGAGGCAGGTCCCCGGCGCCGCCTCGTGTCGACGTCGGGCAGTTGGCAGGCGAGAGGTCGCGCTCCGCCAACCTCTCCGTCACCCGTTGGCACCGCCTCAAAGTCGGCCAACCGTTCGCGGTACGACGGGCCCGCGCGAAACAGCCGCCGCAGTGCGAGCTGAGAGGATGGCTCAAATCTCCGGTCGCAGCCTTGTGACTTCCATTCTCCTCAGCCACAACGGCGTCCATATCCGCCCGAATGTCACAGAAGTCAGGGATTACAGTCCATAAACCCCGCAAAGTATCTGAGTGAGGTCTGAAATAAGCTCCCAGCGCTGTGCGCCCAGTGCGAGGCGATTTCAGTGCTCAGCCGGCGATGAAGGTCCCTGGGGTCAGACGGGGTCGTGTGTGCTCCGATGGGGTCAGCCGGGTCAGGGTGGGTCTCGCAGGTCACGGTGTTGAGAGTGAACACAGCAGTGGGTGTCTGCAGCGTGCAAATGCCGTCGGAATCACTGACCCTTTGATGCGTGGTGCATGGTTACGCTCACTGTTCCGAATGCTAAGTGCGTGCGCGCTTGATTCCGCTGGTGAGAAAAGTGAACGCCCATGTTGAAATAGGCGATGACTGATGACGTATAGGCGAGCACACCGTTTACGTCTAATTAACATTCTGTTCCGGTCAGCATGCAGCGGTCGCTTGGCAAAAACTGCAATGTTAACATGATTGACGATTCGTGGGGCGTCTGTCAATATTGAAACAATGGTGCAATGCTGCGAGAAAATTACGGTTCAACAGCCGAAATTGTGTTTGAACAACTGTAGTTGAAACGGAGCATGGTTTCTAACGTATCCATTTGTAAGGTTGGAATTTGCAGGCTTACAAGTGCCCATCTGTTTGGTTGGCTTTGAGGCTGGTTATCGACATTTTTATACTCATTTCTATCATTATTCGTCAAAGCAATTGACAGGTGGGAACAGTCAAATAATAAAACTGTACCAAAATACGTGCAGATACGTCAACCGCGAGCAGGTCAACTGTAAAAGGCCTAATGCTCGTTGGTCGCTCGGTTTGTTCAGTACCACAGCGTCTATCACTCGATACAGACATCCTGCCTACGCTACAGGAAGCTGCATCCGGAATATGAGACCGCACCGCTCCGCATGATGCAACTGGCTAGGGGGACCCATCCAACATAATGTATTTTAAACAACAACAGCAATTGGAGATGTCCACTGTCCAGTGCACTGATAGAGGCAGTGGCTGACGCATTTGGGGGAATATTTTCGTAGAACATCATTCCCATTGCGTATTACCAGGGGCGAATCAGGAGAGAGGTAGAAAGTACTCAATGCTGCAGGCTGGTACTGTGTAGAACTCGGCAAAGTTTCCACCCGCGTGAATCCAAAACATGTTTTTGTTCCACTAACGACGCAGAGCACAATATGTACAAACTCAAGTTTGGAATAGAGAGCGTGCTCGAGCTGGGTCTCAAAACGTGCTGTTAGAACGACTCCGACAATCACGAGTTGTGTGAGACTTGCAACAATTAGCCAATAACAGGGTAATGGGATACTTAAGGCGAGCACGCAAATAACGGTACTTGCAAGCACGAAAGGAGAAGTTCGCATTCGCGAATTGTGTATGGTTTTATTATTTCATAGATTGCACTATTTTTAAACCAATTATAATGCTTCCTTCCCTGTTCACATGCAGTTCCGAAAACTGCATTTTTCATCACCGCTCAACTTTTGAAGGAACGGTCGATAAGGTATCGTCGCATTCTCAATGCCGCTTGCAACCATCGCATTGCAATGATTGCAGCCGATTTTGCCTATGAATTGTCTATCAACCGCAAATCCATACACAAATAAAGGCCAAAGTCTTTGCATAAAAGCCAAAGAGTAAATACATCGACTTAACGGTGGAGCTTATCAGGCCTCTATTTCACACACCTTTCCACATGCAAAGTTGTTTGATTTATATCAATAGGGAAATGTCACGTCCGCAAACCTTGGGCTGCATATGCAGTGCAGTATGCACCATTGCACCACATACGATAACTCAGTAAATGGGCACAGTCTGGGAACAGTGAAAACTATCGATAACACAACATGAATGATCGCGGTGCCCGTCCATGGTTGGGAAGAATAAGTAGTGTACAACTTAGTTCAGCAACGCATAAAAGGCGAAGAAGCTGTTCATAAAAACAAAGGCCAAATCCACAAACGCAAAACCAAGTTCGAAGACAACAGCCCCTCACAAAACCAACAGACGATAATAAGGCATGCGGTAGGTACCTAATGCAGTTTTTAGGAAGACGTGAAGCTAACTTCAAGGTAATTAAAAGGTACACCTGTTCCACGTAAGATGCACGAGCGCAGAAGTTCGCCTCAGTTTCCGTGCCGTCGCGCCACTTTGGCGCCGGCCAACAGCAGCAGAGGTCAGGGGGACTTGACTGACCCCGGCCAGGGCAGACCAAGGCCGGCCCTGTCTGGGAGAGCCTGACCTCAACGAAAACGCAACGAGACGGGGCACACCTGGGGCTGCTCCTCAGATCCGTGACTGAAGATCCGTGCTCGTGGCAGCGGACCACGTCTCTCTCTCTCTCTCTCTCTCTCTCTCTCTCTCTCTCTCTCTCTCTCTCTCTCTCTCTCTCTCTCTCTCTCTCTCTCTCTCTCTCTCTCTCTCTCTCTCTCTCTCTCTCTCTCTCTCTCTCTCTCTCTCTCTCTCTCTCTCTCTCTCTCTCTCTCTCTCTCTCTCTCTCTCTCTCTCTCTCTCTCTCTCTCTCTCTCTCTCTCTCTCTCTCTCTCTCTCTCTCTCTCTCTCTCTCTCTCTCTCTCTCTCTCTCTCTCTCTCTCTCTCTCTCTCTCTCTCTCTCTCTCTCTCTCTCTCTCTCTCTCTCTCTCTCTCTCTCTCTCTCTCTCTCTCTCTCTCTCTCTCTCTCTCTCTCTCTCTCTCTCTCTCTCTCTCTCTCTCTCTCTCTCTCTCTCTCTCTCTCTCTCTCTCTCTCTCTCTCTCTCTGCATCTTCCTTCCTCAATCAGACACAAAACTAGTGAACCATGAGGCTTTGAGCGGCCACTGAAGCCAATTTCCAATCAGCTACCAGTTGCGGCAGGTTCACATGCGCTCTGTTGATTCTACGAAATGCCATTTTCACGTGAGGTCACCAGAATAACTTTTATCTACCGTGTGAAGAGGAACACGAAGTCCGTAAAGAGCCACTGAGTTACACGGTCACGGATCTACCGCCCGCTGCGGAGGCAAAGATAGCAGAGCCGGTGACCTACGAGCGTGACCCAGATCGGCCGAGGCCCCGTCTGCCGTCGGGTCGACTCGTGGCTCCCGGTGAAGGTCAGGACCGAGACGCGTCATCGTGTTGATTCAGCCGCGTCTAAACAGACCGAGGTGTCGTCCCTCACGACTGGGCGGGGAAGGGGGGGGGGGTATCGCCTCCGTGTGATACGGCGGGCTGCTGCTCTGTGATCAATGGTCATCGGTGAATCTGCAGCTGATGTAGTGGGACTGAGCTTAATTGAAGTGGAAAAGGTCATGCAGGACGTCATTAGGTATAATTAGCTGTTGTCAGGTCAGGTGGTGCTCCAGTTTGTCGATAGTAAATGAGAGCACCTGTTTACGGAAATAATCAACTGGAAAGTCAGGATGCTGTTACGAAAACAACAGAGCTGGAAAGACCCAAGCTAAGAAATGGTAAGTACCTACCACACCTGCGCACCTCTCTGTAGCCTGTAATGATCAAATTATTCATTGTTTCGACGGAATTCCCGCCAAACTCCTGGATCAGCTGACCGTCTCAGCAATTTGTTTAATTTATTGTTCTATCAATTAGTAAAAACACAGTCCCTATAATTCTTCATACGAGGGATGCATCTGAACTCAAGGCGTTAGCCGACCGACCTGACGGGTTTATCAGAATCATTCAATGCTGTTTATTCTTTCGGCTCAATTACCCATTGTTTGGTTTCATTTTGTTTAAAATAATGTCAGGTCAGAAGATTAAGTGCTACGATGAACATGACATTACATC